TATTAGCCAGCCGCCACTGGTAGCATCCAAGATCTTTGGGCAGTTTGTTCCAGTTTCATGCAGCATAACAGATAAATGCTGCTTCAGACCAAACTCTGTGCTGTTCCAGCTGAGATGAGACATGTATTCTGGTCCTAAACCACTCAGTGATTTACAGTATGCAGCAGCACTTTAAACATATATTCTGTAACTAACTGGAAACCTAGTGTGAAGATTTCATAACTGCAATAATAATGGAGATGGAATATTGTTTCATCCAGATGGTTGGAAGAGTGTTTCTGGAAATACATTCAGAATTTAGAACACAAGGATAAACGACCGGCTGGGTTTTTCCAGTGATCACAGTGTCATTATTAATTTAGAATAATTGTTGTGCAGAAAAATTGGATGCTTAGCTCTGTGACTCATGAGAGGCACAAGCTGGGGCAACATCAAATCAGGTTCTAATGGGGTTATTTCCATATTACAGGGCTCCACAGTGAGGGTTGCAATTGTCAGTCATTTTGAGAAATTGGCAACCAATGCTTGGCCTTTGGTTGCCATCAATGGCAAACCAGTTTTTAACATATAGAAAAAAAGGTACAGCAAAAAGCAAAACGTGTGCCCCAAAATCCATTGATATATCATTTTTGTTGCATTAGTGATATTTAAATATGGCTGGTCAAATCAGAACCAGACAACGTGCACAGAGGAATCTGTTTTAAAATGAAGTTGTTAAACATCACAAACGAAATGTGCAAATTGATAGAACTGACAAAGAACCAGATGAACCTGAACGAAAAACAGTCTTGTGAGGCGAAGTGTCCCGGCATCTTTAAGCTGTATGTAAAAATGAGACCGCAAAGCCTGCAAAACATACCCCTAACACGTATGCACGTCACATTTCCATTATTAAGCTGATATATATCTGCACTGTCTTCATTACTCAAAATGTAAGCCTGCTAAAAATGGTAACCATGTTTTCCTCTTAACTGTTGTGTTTGATGAATTTGCCTTTTTCTTATCATGCCTACACCTTGAAAGTGAATGGGAGTTAATTCCCAATCATAACTTTTATATTCCTCTGTTTTTTCACAGATGATGCTCAAAATAACATAGTAATTACTTCCACCGCTGACTGGCGACCAAGAACATCCAGTCAGATCTAAGAGAACCGCTGCTGAATTGAGAGACGATATTGAGTCACTTGGCTTCATATGTGCTTCTAAGCATGAGTCCTTAACTTCCTCATCCACCAGGACACGCTGTTACACGATCCCTTCGGTTGTTGTGTGACGGACCGTCAGGGGAGTTCCACCACCGTACCGTTACTGTAGAAGCCCGAGACGCACCGGCAAGATGTTTTCAGCGCTCAAGAAGCTGGTGGGGTCTGAGCCAGGGCAGCTCAGGGACAAGAACATTCCGGCTGGCCTGCAGTCCATGAACCAAAGTTTGCAGAGACGCTTCGCCAAAGGGGTCCAGTACAATAGTAAGTGGTTCAGGCGAACAGGCTTCTGCAGTCAAATATATTTAGTTTTTCGTATTTTTTTTAGTGAAGTTGATGAACTATTTTCTGATGTACTCTCTTTCCGTATCCAGTGAAAATAGTCATCCGGGGAGATAGAAACACCGGAAAGAGTACTTTATGGCATCGACTGCAGGGCAAGAAGTTTGTGGAGGAGTATCTTCCCACTCAGGAGATCCAAGCTACAAGTATCCATTGGAATTACAAAAGTAAGTCTTTGCTGAACTATATTTGATCACCACTGCTTTTGCCGTGTTTCTATTTTGGTGAATATTTGACATCTGCTGTCCTGTGCCTCGGTGATCTGTTTCAGTGGCTCCATATCAAGGTAAAATTTGGACTTAGCCGCAGCTAACCCAGTTTTAGAGTAGGTGTCCTGTATTTGTGTTAGTCACTCCATACCAAGCAAACCATTTTTTAGTGTTTGCAGTTGTTGGATCCATAGTAGAGTCGCTTAAAAGCCTGCACATTTGAAGTATTCAAATCCGTGGCCTAAGAGCATGAATAATGCAAACACCCTTTCTGTTTCCCCTCAGCTACTGATGATGTGGTCAAGGTAGAGGTGTGGGACGTGGTAGACAAAGGTAAGTGTTGACATACGTGCCCATTAAAGAACCAGACTTTCCACAGAGGCTCACCTCGCTCTAAGGAGTCACGCCTTTGTCTCTCTCTACTGCTGTCAACCTGCTGCAGTATTTCATGACACCAAACAGACACATCAGTTTCTGCTTTGTTTGGGTTTCTGTCCTCAGTGTTGACTTTGTCTTTTTTTTTTGCACTTCTCTTGCACTCATCTCAGGCCAAAAATATCCTCTTCCCGAAGGTGTAGGTGAGCGCCACTGTAGTGTGTAGAGATTGAACTGGCTTGTGTGCTGTGGGTTTGGCCCTGCCTCGTCTTAGTCTTATCTGAATGTCAATATTCCCACGGTTTGCTGCGTGGCTACTTTTCTGAGTTTGGCTGACTTTTTTCTGCTGTGTGTAGCTTGACCCTAAGAGTGTGGCACCGTGTGAGCCGTGACGTGTACCCCTTTCACACCGAGGGCTTAACCGGGGTTGGACCGGCGTGTTCCAAAGGGTTAACCCACGTTGACCGACTTTGACTTACCGACACAGGTTGAGAGTTGGGTCGGACCAGGGTTGATTTTAATGTGAATGGCACGCTATCAATGTTGCTAACAGCTGGGGGCGGGACAAATTATTTCATTGGTTGGAAATGGGGGGCGCACAGTCGTGACGCAGGTCTTAGGTGCCGTTGTTATGTTGCGTCGAAAAACGTGTGAGAAACGCCAGTTGTGCCGCTTTCATGTTTTTATCTAAAGTGCCTGGGGGGGTTGCGCTACTGCTGTTACTAAGCAACCAAAACCTGCACGCTGTGATGACGACGATGATGATGAAAGCCTCACTGACTAAACTAAACAAAATCAAAACAAAGGTAAATTTGCAGCACTGCAAATTCCTCACTTTAGCTTTACTGCTTGATTCTGTTTCTTCAGTTTGTCTGACATTTCAACTGGATGTTGTGACGTCCTTTTGTCGGCAGCGGGAAGCAAGTAAAATAGTCTGTTGAACCTGAAACGGATCGTAAAGCCCTGGGTAGTCCTGCATTAAATTTATTAATTTCTCCTCCATTCATTCACTGTAAACTGATGTTTACAGATAACAAACAAAAAAGATATCTTCCAGCTGTAATTGGTCGTTCCTCGTCACATGACATGCGGAGCGCCCCGCAGCGTTCCAGCGTTGAACTATTTTTATCTTGGGGCGAAGCCTTTGCGCCCTGAAAAATAGGCGCTTGGGAACGCAGCGTTGCTTTCGTTTTTGGGTGAGCCCTCCGAGTGTCTACACTGACAACAATAAATTTCAATGAGCAAAAAAACGTGACTGGCGATCGTAACAACATGGATACGTGGCAAGACTTTGCAGTGCGGGAGCTAGCAGTACTACACAGTAAAATCGACAGTGTCAATGAAACACTTAAAGAGTCAATTTTAACACTAATTCAGTGAACATATGGTCCCTATCTACAGAGTGTTAAAGCTACACTGGACATAGTGTTACATTTTTAGAGTCAATTTAACTCTGGTTAGAGTTAATATTTTACACTACACTACACTGAGAAGTGTTACTCAAATTTTACACTATGATGTAAATAACACTCGTAGTGTTATTTAAATTTGACACTAGGTCTTTTTGAGTGTTAATCAAAATTAACTCTAATTAAGTTACTCTTCATGAGTGTTGCACCTACTTGACACTAAGTGTTTAAGAAATTACTCCAAATACAGTGTTTAACTGACTCCTGCCAGTGTTAAAACATATTTCCTCTTGTATTTACTCCCTTAGTGTAATTCTTACCCAACACCTTATTTACTCCTTTTTAACTCTTCAACAGAACACTTTTAAGAGTTTTGCATTTTCTACTTTACCATGTCAGCTAACACTTCAAACAATAAAACAAAAAATGTTTGCAGGGGAAAAAACAACAAACACTATTATATCCATATCTTAATAACAATTTATTAAAAATAAAAAACATTTAGTTTGCATTCAATTTTTCATTATCAGTTTAGAGATGCAAGTGTAACTCCCATTTGTGCTACATTGTACAACCATTAAACCTCACTTTCAGTTTCAAAGATGGAAAAAAGACATTGTTCTTAAAAGACATGGTATATTTAGAATAGTACAATCTTAACAATGTCTGTAAACATTGAAAACTGTGTTTACAGTGCATTTAGAGGATACACACATCCGAGTACAATTCAAGTCCTTTTCACCTTAGAACAAACTTCGCTATCATCTGCAATCTACCAAGCAATTCAAACTAAGATCTGATTGGCCACTGAAAGAGTTGGGATGTTATTTTGGCTTTAAATATTCTGATTATCTGCTGCCTCCAGACATTGTACTGCTGCTGGGAAAACTGAGAAAAACTTAATTCATAGGGTTGTCATTTTTTATTTGAAATACTAATTCTGTAACTATATGTTATATCAAATTTGACTACAGTTAGATTTAATATTGGATTTTTGATTTGCCACAGATAGTCTTCTATACCAGCAGGTGTTTGAATTACATTTTTAAAGGAGAGATTCACCGATTTCTACCTTATTTCAATTTATCTGCTCATGGTGTAAATCTAACTGCACTCAAATTTGGTATTAAAACATATAGTTACAGATACAATATTTTAAAGTGACAGCCCTCATGACTCTATTGTAAAGGTCTTGTTTGGAATTTATTAGTATCTTGGCAGATGATAGAAAGTTGTCTCTAAGTTGAATAACAATAACTCTATTTTAACCAGTAAATGCAGAAAAATCCTAGGAAAATACAAATGACTCAAGTCTTGCTGACAGAAATTGTACAAACAATTCTTCGTATTGAACAGCCACATCCAATTTAACAGACACAGTTCTGAGTTGAGTACAGCCCTAAAATAAATATATATATCTTTCCCACAAGTGTAGAAGAACAGATGTGCTTGAAGAAAAGATATCTAAATTATCTCAGAGGTTCAGTCACCTTTTCGTCCGGTTGTGTTCCTTGACATTATGGTCTCCACCAGGTTTCTTGGCCAACGCAGATTTTTCCAACTGTGAAATGACGATTTCTATTTTAATCACATGATGGTATCTGTAAAAACAGCAAAAGTGAAATCACATTATGACCTACAACACAATTCATTCTGAGACAACACTGAAGTTAAATTTAACACTAACTAGCTTTTGTCAAACACACATTAAAAATGACTGAATATAAATGTAGACAGCAATATAACGCTCACGTTACTTTGAAAAGTGCTTATTCAGTTTAACAGACAAAAAATAAACTATTAAATTAAACTAATTGGCTTTAAAGTGAATTCTTGTAGGAGGGCCCATGCACTCAAAGGGAAGGTTTGTCCCAGATAATATCACAACTCCCCACACATGCAGTATTTGCTATTTTACTGTCATCTATGGACATTGAAAACAATACAACACTGTCAGTCCTCCACATTGACCTCTCTTGCCCACATTGTGGAGTTTGATGTTAGCTAGTTAGCCTTACTGTGTACGATCCCTACAACAGTGGTTTTGGACACACTGCTCTCGCTTATCTATATATAGACTGTGAGCGCATCTGTTTTTAAAGCATGTTTGCACATTTTCAATGTGGCTTGGTTTGAATTGACAAAAGAAGGTTTGAACACGGGTCAGATAACCTCGGTCCAACCTTGGTCATTGGTGTGAAAGAGGTATTAATACCAGCAGTGTGTGTTTAAAGGATACCGTGCGTTAAAATTCCATTAGAAAAGCGGCTGTACTGCTCTGCTTCTTTTACTCACCGTAATCTAACATAAAGCCACTAGCTAAGCTGTAGGCTGTGATGTTTTTTGTCTTTTCAGCTCGTCTAAACTTGTGATCTCTTGTTCTTTCAGGCAAAGGCAAAAGGCGCGGAGAGAATTTAAAACTGGAGAATGAGCCTCAAGAGGTAATTAAAGCTGCAAGCAGCATTGATCGGGCCCTCGCAACTTCACGCACGTCGAGGGTACTGGCAGGACTCTGGTTGCCGCGGCCATGCATTTCTGTGACCATCATGCACAGCGCCTGGAAATTGCAAAAACAACACTAGAAATTCATACAAATTTCAAAATGGCTGACTTCCGGTTGGGTTTACATGTGATACATCTGCTTACCAAATTTTGTAAATCTATGTGAAACGTACTTCGAGGGCTGCTTCTTCTAAATTTTGTAGGGGGCGCTATTGAGCCGATTTGCCACTCTGAAGCACACACCACATTTTGGGCTTTAAATGTGTATGCCAAGTTTGCTTATGTTTCGAGCATTTTCAGCCTCTCAAAATGACCTTACTTTTTCACGGCGAAGACTACAACGGTGGAATGGCGTTCCACGAAACATCAAAAGCTTCATCAACTAATTTGATGTTGATCTGATTTACCTACTAAGAGAAACAAGCCATAGTAAAGTATAAAGACTTTAACTTTCTGTTACCAGTAGGTGGCGCTATGACTATGATTCAAAATTGGCCTGCAGATGTCTTCAGGACTGGAGTCTAATCAAACATGTGAAATGTGGTAAAGATCTGACAATGTGGAGTCGAGTTACATCAGTTTATTCGTTCATGGCGAAGGATTGAAATTCGCCGAGCCGCCACGTCGCCGCCCTTCAACAACTCCTTACAATCTTCACAATGAAGCATTATCAAGGTCTTAAGGTTTTTTTCACAACATTTGAGAGGGATCTGATTAATCTGTGAGGAGCAGGATGTCAAAGTACAAAACTTACAACTTCCGGTTTCCACTAGGTGGCGCTATTACTATGATTCTAAATTGTCATATAGATGTGTTCCGAGTCGGGATGTTATGACATGAGAGATTTGGAGCAGATTTGACAATGTATGGCCGAGTTACAACAACTTCCTGTTTCATGGCGAATAGGGTTTTTTTGCCGCCACACCACTGATACATAGTTTGATAACTTTTTGATCTTTGAGTAACTTTTCACTGCCAAGGTCTCAAGAGCATACTGACAAATTCTGAAGTCAGTCAATCGGGTTAAATCTCTAGGAGGAGTTCGTCAAAGTATGACGCCTTGAAACGGTCAAAAAACGTCATCAAAATTCATAATGGCCGACTTCCTGTTTGGTTTAGTGAAAAATCAGACTGCAATTTTTGCAAATTCTGGCTTACGTGGCAAATTTTAAAAAAATTCCCAGTATCTCAAGCACCTCCTTTTTGCGACGAAACACACATAATAATAATAATAATAATAATAATAATAATAAACATTAGAATAACAATAGGTCCTCCGCTCCGACTACATCGGTGCTCTGGCCCTAATAATAATAAACATTAGAATAACAATAGGTCCTCCGCTTGGACTAAGTCAGTGCTCCGGCCCTAATAATAATAAACATTAGAATAACAATAGGTCCTTCGCTTCGACTAAGTCGGTGCTCGGGCCCTAATTATCATATGGCTGTCATGTGCTTAGGAAAGAGACTCCTTTATAGTATGTGGGTCAGTGAAGGAGTTTGCCAGAGTAAGAGGTGTGGTAAAAAGCATTAGATTTCCTTCCTGTATCATGTGATTCATGCATTGGTTTAATGTATGTGTTGTAGTCGGATGAGGTGGCCCTGGATGCAGAGTTCCTGGATGTCTACAAGAACTGTAATGGAGTCATCATGATGTTTGACATCACCAAGCAGTGGTAAGTGGGTCTGTCCCAATAATAGTATATCTAATTATTGTTCGATATATGAACATGACCTCTATCCCCGTTGTGTTATTATATTGCTAGAATATTTGTTCATATAAGACTGTCACCAACATTTTAGTCAACATGCAGAATAAACGTCAGGCATTCCCAATATCCATTTGACCTTTTGTTTTAGTTGTGTGGTTTTATTTAATTTGTTTTATTTACTTATTTTTTCACATTCCAATTCCAATTTCTGAATATCTTTAAGAATTAAGTTAATAGCTCTTTCAAATGTTGTACTTGCAATACTCTGCTATGATATTATCACTATATCAGTGGCATAAAATTGTCTTAAAATGACTTATCGTAATTGATGGGACAATATATCGTCCAAAAGATATGCGAGTTATTGTGACAGGCCTCGTGATCGGAGTTGTCCGAGTTGTTGTCCTCGCACTGTCTAGTCAGTGAGCTCTAATGCATGGGCAGATTAGGTTTCAGCTGAGAGCTTCCACTGGTAGATTATGTTCTGCTTCAAAGGCAAAGACCTTCAAAGACATTTCAACACGGCTATTTTAGGTATTACGTCTGAGGGAATAGATGGAGATATTTTTTTTTCAAATACTATTATGTCTAGCCAGGAGCGACATGATGCACCAATAGGTGTTTAGGCGTTTGTTGTTATTGTGGCCATGGCGTACTGACCTATTACTTTCAGTGTAGTAACAGTATTGGTATCGCTGTTAGTGCCCAACTCTCAGGTGTACATAACATTTTTTTCTAGTTGAGCACGGACAGGAAATACTTTGTATAAATTTTTCTTTTAACAAATACCACAAATACACCAAAACCAACAGTGAATGTATACACCAACAAGTATTGTGTGTATATGAAATACTGATATATCTTTGTGCCATCGAGGTCCATTTACAGTGGGTACGGAAAGTATTCAGACCCCTTTACATTTTTCACTCTTTGTTTCATTGCAGCCATTTGCTAAAATCAAAAAAGTTAATTTTATTTCCCATTAATGTACACTCGGCACCCCATCTTGACAGAAAAAAACAGATGTAGAAATTTTTGCAAATTTATTAAAAAAGAAAAACTGATATATCACATGGTCATAAGTATTCAGACCCTTTGCTGTGACACTCATATTTAACTCGCATGCTGTCCATTTCTTCTGATCCTCCTTGAGATGGTTCTACTCCTTCATTGGAGTCCAGCTGTGTTTAATTGAACTGATTGGACTTGATTAGGAAAGGCACACACCTGTCTATATAAGACCTTACAGCTCACAGTGCATGTCGGAGCAAATGAGAATCATGAGGTCGGAGGAACTGCCCAAGGAACTCAGAGACAGAATTGTGGCAAGGCACAGATCTGGCCAAGGTTACAAAAGAATTTCTGCAGCACTCAAGGTTCCTAACAGCACAGTGGCCTCCATAATCCTTAAATGGAAGAAGTTTGGGACGACCAGAACTCTTCCTAGACCTGGCCGTCCAGCCAAACTGAGCAATCGTGGAAGAAGAGCCTTGGTGAGAGAGGTAAAGAAGAACCCAAAGATCACTGTGGCTGAGCTCCAGAGATGCAGTAGGGAGATGGGAGAAAGTTCCACAAAGTCAACTATCACTGCAGCCCTCCACCAGTCGGGGCTTTATGGCAGAGTGGCCCGACGGAAGCCTCTCCTCAGTGCAAGACATATGAAAGCCCGCATAGAGTTTGCCAAAAAACACATGAAGGACTCCCAGACTATGAGAAATAAGATTCTCTGGTCTGATGAGACCAAGATTGAACTTTTTGGCGTTAATTCTAAGTGGTATGTGTGGAGAAAACCAGGCACTGCTCATCACCTGCCCAATACAATCCCAACAGTGAAACATGGTGGTGGCAGCATCATGCTATGGGGGTGTTTTTCAGCTGCAGGGACAGGACGACTGGTTGCAATTAAAGGAAAGATGAATGCGGCCAAGTACAGAGATATCCTGGAAGAAAACCTCTCCCAGAGTGCTCTGGACCTCAGACTGGGCCGAAGGTTCACCTTCCAACAAGACAATGACCCAAAGCACACAGCTAAAATAACAAAGGAGTGGCTTCGGAACAACTCTGTGACCATTCTTGACTGGCCCAGCCAGAGCCCTGACCTAAACCCAATTGAGCATCTCTGGAGAGACCTGAAAATGGCTGTCCACCAACATTCACCATCCAACCTGACGGAACTGGAGAGGATCTGCAAGGAAGAATGGCAGAGGATCCCCAAATCCAGGTGTGAAAAACTCGTTGCATCATTCCCAAGACGACCCATGGCTGTACTAGCTCAAAAGGGTGCTTCTACTCAATACTGAGCAAAGGGTCTGAATACTTGTGACCATGTGATATTTCAGTTTTTCTTTTTTAATAAATTTGCAAAAATTTCTACATTTCTGTTTTTTTCTGTCAAGATGGGGTGCTGAGTGTACATTAATGAGAAATAAAATGAACTTTTTTGATTTTAGCAAATGGCTGTAATGAAACAAAGTGAAAAATTTAAAGGGGTCTGAATACTTTCCATACCCACTGTATGTCCAAAAACTATTAAAACCACCACATCAGTCAGTCACACTGGGGGGGGGGGGGGCATGTTCTTTCATTTCCATGACCATTACACAGTCTTTTATTTAACATTTAGACATAGCACAAAAAGTAAGGAAATTTGTGTTTGGTAGATTATTTCTTTGTTGTAACAATGCTTCTTGGCAATAAATCTTATACTGTTGGAAAGCCTGTTTATTTCCCTTTTTAAATGGTGCCACATTTGTAAGGAACATGCATTTCTGGGATGAGCAGCAGAGCTATGTATGTGGGTTGTGCCCATGAAAAATTTGCCAAACCTTCTCTGCCGATTTGGAACATTGTTCGTCATTAACCGACAATGCATATAGTCAAAATCAATGTAATTAACACAATGACAAGAACAAACTCACAAGAACCAGTCACATATATGTATATGACCACAAAGCATGACAAATCAATCCAGCAAACCTGCAGCGCTAAAACACGTATTCCACCGCACACTAAAGAGCACGGGCCATTCAAATATTATTCACATCAGAGGGAACAATATCAACCATATCATAAAAACGACACCATAGACAAATTAACACAGTAGTAACGCTACTACAGATGTAAAACACAAAAGCACTTCACTTACCAAAGCTGCTGTTCACTTAAAGACAAAGTATATCCTCCTTTCTTTGTTAATGAAGAGTTTAATGACTCGGTTGTACAGTACATTGGTGCGGTTCAGTTCCAGCCAGAGGTCCTCCTGCGAACGTGTTCATTGAGTTGTAGATCCACTCGGGTCTCCAAATGTTTTCAAAAGCACCGTAGCTTGTACAGTGGTGCAAAAAAGTATTTAGTCAGCCACCAATTGTGCAAGTTCTCCCACTTAAAAAGATGAGGCCTGTAATTTTCATCATAGGTGTATACCTCAACTATGAGAGACAAAATGAGAAAAAAAAAAATCCAGAAAATCACTGTCTGATTTTTAAAGAATTTATTTGCAAATTATGGTGGAAAATAAGTATTTGGTCAATAACAAAAGTTCATCTCAATACTTTTGTTATATACCATTTGTTGGCAATGACAGAGGTCAAACGTTTTCTGTAAGTCTTCACAAGCTTTTCACACACTGTTGCTGGTATTTTGGCCCATTCCTCCATGCAGATCTCCTCTAGAGCAGTGATGTTTTGGGGCTGTCGCTGGGCAACACGGACTTTCAACTCCCTCCACAGATTTTCTATGGGGTTGAGATCTGGAGACTGGCTAGGCCACTCCAGGACCTTGAAATGCTTCTTACGAAGCCACTCCTTCGTTGCCCGGGCGGTGTGTTTGGGATCATTGTCATGCTGAAAGACCCAGTCACGTTTCATCTTCAATGCCCTTGCTGATGGAAGGAGGTTTCCACTCAAAATCTCACAATACATGGCCCCATTCATTCTTTCCTTTACACGGATCAGTCGTCCTGGTCCCCTTGCAGAAAAACAGCCCCAAAGCATGATGTTTCCACCCCCATGCTTCACAGTAGGTATGGTGTTCTTTGGATGTAACTCGGCATTCTTTCTCCTCGACGAGTTGACTTTTTACCAAAAAGTTCTATTTTGGTTTCATCTGACCATACGACATTCTCCCAATCCTCTTCTGGATCATCCAAATGCTCTCTAGCAAACTTCAGACGGCCCTGGACATGTACTGGCTTAAGCAGGGGGACATGTCTGGCACTGCAGGATTTGAGTCCCTGACGGCGTAGTGTGTTACTGATGGTAGCCTTTGTTACTTTGGTCCCAGCTCTCTGCAGGTCATTCACTAGGTCCCCCCGTGTGGTTCTGGGATTTTTGTTCACTGTTCTTGTGATCATTTTGACCCCACGGGGTGAGATCTTGCGTGGAGCCCCAGATCGAGGGAGACTATCAGTGGTCTTGTATGTCTTCCATTTTCTAATAATTGCTCCCACAGTTGATTTCTTCACACCAAGCTGCTTACCTATTGCAGATTCAGTCTTCCCAGCCTGGTGCAGGTCTACAATTTTGTTTCTGGTGTCCTTTGACAGCTCTTTGGTCTTGGCCATAGTGGAGTTTGGAGTGTGACTGTTTGAGGTTGTGGACAGGTGTCTTTTATACTGATAACGAGTTCAAACAGGTGCCATTAATACAGGTAACGAGTGGAGGACAGAGGAGCCTCTTAAAGAAGTTACAGGTCTGTGAGAGCCAGAAATCTTGCTTGTTTGTAGGTGACCAAATACTTATTTTACCGAGGAATTTACCAATTAATTCATTAAAAATCCTACGATGTGATTTCCTGGATTCTTTCCCCCCATTCTGTCTCTCATAGTTGAAGTGTACCTATGATGAAAATTACAGGCATCTCTCATCTTTTTAAGTGGGAGAACTTGCATAATTGGTGGCTGACTAAATACTTTTTTGCCCCACTGTAAGTGTCCTGCCGTTTTATGGTGTCATGTTGCTGCCTTGGTTAGCCAACTCAGGTTAGCGTAGCTCCAAACACCTCCAAACACCAAGACGCTCAGTTGCAAATGAAACGCATTCTTAGCCATAAAATGTGCAACGCTTCTCCAACACTGTCAGCCAGGAATGCCGTTCGTACAAATCCTTTTCCTGGCTGGGTCAGCGCTGCTACCTGTGGGGTTGGCTGACCCTTTCTTACTGAAAATGTCCTTGAGAAATCTGTTTCTCCTCCTCCTTCAGCCATTGAGTCTTAAAAAAACAAAGCTAGGTTAAAAAAAAAAATTTCTACACCAAGCAAAATGCTAAAAATGTCATGTCAATGTCATAACTTCTTACATATCTTTCAACTTGAACTGTTACTACTACTACTAAATTCTGCTAGCTGCTTCAGTGTCACAACGGTCATGCTAGCCCACTGATCAATTACGCCGCACGTTAATGCTGAGCTGCACATTAATGCTGACATACTTGTAGACTACCTCGGTAGCTCTGGCACGTCAAAGAATACGCCCAACATGTCAAACTAAAGATCTGATTGGTTGAACACTGTGACAATCAACAATATCGTCCCCATTTACTTTAATCTGCAAAAGCTATCCAGCAGGCCTCGGGCCTCTATTTTTACCTAGAGAAATAGGGGTGAAATCTGATTGGATAAAAGCTCTACCTAAAACAAGCTGTGCTAGAAGCAGAGCAACTGAGGAAGACAGTAGCTGTGCAATGAGAAAATAAGCTAATGGGAAAAATAATTAGAATACATGTAGTGTATTTGTGAAAAATTATTAAATTCTAAAATAGCTATAACTTTGTGATTCTGTTTAGGTCAGCAGAGAAGGCTTTGCTGGCCCTGATGGCCCACCATTGGTAATAAGCCCTTAACCAGAAGAAGACAACAATTATTGTTGTCTTCTTCTGGTTAAGGGCTGCATTGCAGTAAAGTTCCAGCTGTTTGATTATTTGGCTTTACCCAGTTCGTCATAATATCCAGATTACTGATGATTTTTTATCAGAATCTCATTGTGTGAATAGTTTGTGAAAGCACCACAAAGATATCTTAGCAATATTGATATTGAGGTATTTGGTCAAAAACATTGTGACATTTGATTTATTCCATATCGGCCTGACTTCACGAATACATTTCTATCAGTCTGAGCATCTTTTAAGTTTCCTTCGCCCACCCACACATGCATGTTTTTGTCACTTGCAGGACTTTTAACTACATCCTGAGGGAGCTGCCCAAAGTACCCACCCACGTGCCGGTGTGCGTGTTGGGCAACCACAGGGACATGGGCGAGCACCGCGTCATCCTCCCCGACGATATAAGAGACCTGATCGCTGGACTGAACAGGTAGAGATCAGCGCCAGGCTAAATGGTAGCTATGGGCGGATGAAGCCTTGTGAAGCTTTGAGGCTTTTTTTTCTGTTTGTGCCGAAAAAAGATGGGAAGCTTCTGGGCTTCAAACGCGGCCACAACACTGACATCTGCTGGTTTTTGAAGCGTATAGTAGCCCAACACCTCTCTGACTGAATAGTTTAGTCTTGTGTGTGCAAACAAAAGAGTTCAACAAGCCAGCATGTTAGCATTCAATTTTTAATACTTAAATGTAGATATAATTGTGCAATATGGTACATTAACAATAACTAATATATTGTCCAAAAAGCCAAGATTTGATACAGGTGGAAATGTCCTCGTAAGTATTCCTCATTTGACACAGTGTATTTAAACAGTGTAAATCTAGGAAATCTCTATGAAATGGTCCAGTGTTGGGGATTGGAACTTAAAACATTCACTGCGATAGTTGACATGCAAGTCGTTGTATTTGAAAGTCAATTCTCCGACTTGATTCAGCGGTGGAGTTTGACTGTAAAGGTGGATTTCGAATTTGAAAGATGTGATGTAAATAAGAAGTATCATAAAGGCTGCACAGTTACCTCTTTACGAGTCTTACATGACGATTCTCCCACGCCCTTGTGATTAACCCAGTGGCGGGCCGTCGGGGCCTGCAAGGCCTTCTCTGCTGGCCTAAACAGAATCACAAAGCTATATCTATTTTATAATTTAATAATTTTTCTTAAATACACTACATGTATTATAATTTATAAAAATATTTTTCCCATTATCTTATTTTCTCAATGCACAGCTACTGTCTTCCTCAGTTGCTCTGCTTCCAGTGCAGCTTGTTTTAAGTAGAGCTTTTATCCAATCAGATTTCACCTCTGTGTCTCTAGGTAAGAACAGAGACGGAGGCCTGCATCCATTTGCAGTTTAAGTGAACGGGGACGATATTGTTGATTGTCATATTCTTCAACCAATCAGATCTTTAGTTTGACATGTTGGGCGTATTCTTTGACTTATCAGAGCCTGCTCGCCGGCCTATAATGACGTCAGCATTAGTGCAGCTCAGTGTCTGCCGCGAGGTGCAGAGTGCGCTGTGATTGGTCAGTGGGCGAGCACGTGACTATCGTGAAACGAAGCTTAACAGCAGAGGCATGTCGGGTAGTGAATCGCATCACGTGATGCAGCTCAGCCAATCAAATATGGGCATTCTGACTGAGTGAGATGCACCATGACACAGGAGACTGAGACGAGGAAAGACACTGCAGAGCAGTATGTACAATGCTCAAGTTGTGAAAGTAAAATCATAAGACGATCTCTTTGTGACTTGTCGTTAAGGAGTGATGGTGGGTCCCACAGCCAGACCAGCTAAGAACCACTGTCCTCCATGAGCGCAGAAAACATTATATTCTCCTGAATATAAGCTTCTGCATTTTCCAGATGCTCTAGTACTATTCAAACGTATTGCAAGTCTTGTACCGAACTTTACGTACATTTAATACGTACATAGGTACGTACATTTAATACGTACATAGTTACAGCCTTAGAAACTGATAATATCTGTGGCGCCATCATCAATAAGGTGGTATTTCAGCTGCAGGACAACAGTGAAGGCCTAGGTATAAAATGCACGGCCCGCCACTGGATTAACCTGTAGGCAGCATCAGCAGAGGACAAGACTGCATCACACCATGTGATAAGGTGTGCATAGTCAGAGGTGGTGGAAATGACAATTTTAACAAGAGTGTTTTGGAAGAACTAAATGACTCGGAGAAAGCCCTTTGATGGAGAAAAATCATTATCCAGCCCTAGCTAAAAATGAATAATAAAAAATGCTCCCATTTTGTGTGATCCTTGATCTTTTCCACTTGATTCATTTAACTTAAACTGTCTTTCATTCTAATGCTTCAATTAAATAATTTGGGTTTCAAATCGTATTATGCCCTCCCTCAGATTAATGATTATTCCCTCAGATTAGTAGAATAATAAAAATGTTTGCCCAGATACCTGCCAGACTCTGTAAAAGGCCAGAAAATCCCTGCGGCTCGACCTCCGGGAGCTATGCTGATCTTATCCTAATAAAACTATTAAAGCTGCATTCATCAATATTTTTGTAATAACAGCGGATGAAATCCCTGTGTGAATTGTTTAAAGAGGTTGCTCATAGTGATGAAACCCACATAGAACTGTCAGCCAATAATAGTTTCCCTCAGCTCTACAGAGCTGTTTATCCAATTGTTTTGGTTTTACTGCCCACAAACTCAGCTCTCCTCGACTTCATTCCCAGCAGCAGCCACAGTACTCAAACAGCAGACAAACCCAGTTAGAGACCAGCTGGTGAACATAGTGGAGCATTTAGCAGCTAAAGAGTCAGATATTCTTTTCTGGAGTTGGTGGAGACCAAACCAGAGCTAAAAGGAGAGAGATTATTGGACGTTTATCAGGTGGACACATGACTCCTAATGAATGCTGGGTGTGTGTAAAGAGAGGGGTTTGCTAACACATTCACCAACTTAACAAAGTGATAATATGTCTGATGTTATTTTTAAAGCTTGTTCTGCTGCCAAAAAGTAATGAATGCAGCTTTAACGTGTTTACATCTTGTTTTTGATACAATGAAGAGGATTATACTGCATTTGTAGGAAATTGTCATGAAAGTAATACCTGTGTTTTACAGACCAATGGGAGCGTCTTACATCCACTATGCCGAGTCCTCAATGAAGAATGGGTTTGGTTTGAAATATCTGCACAGGTTTTTCAACATCCCCTTCCTGCAGCTACAGGTAAAACAAATTTCATTTCATTTCACTTTTCATTTGTCATCATTACTATCATAATAATTTAATGTTTTTTGTTAGTTTTCCGTCCTGTACACTGGTTTATAAGGATTTTAATAAATCTGCTTTAACTTTAATAGGAGTGTGTGTGTGTGTGTGTGTGCGTGTGCGTGTGCGTGTGCGTGCGTGCGTGCGTGTGTGTGTGTACGCTTGCAGAGAGAGACCCTACTGAGGCAGCTGGAGACAAATCAGCTGGACATGGATGCCACCCTGGAGGAGCTCTGTGTCCAGCAGGAGACTGAGGATCAGAACTATGATATGTACTGTCTGCTTTGTTTCTCTGTCTACCCGTGCACTGTTGTACACATACCTGCAAACTTGTCGAAATTCGCCGTTTTAAATCAAAATATGTCATCCACGTGAATCGTGTAGATCCGTAGAGATTTTATTTTCAGGGGGGTCAACTGGCCAGCCAGTGTTTCTCAGATTGGAGTGAGACGAAGAGAGAAAGGTGATGTGGTGATCTTCGCAATAAAACCTCTTTGATGTGACGTGTCGAGTCTTGGCCAATCAGCGTTAAGATGTCTACACTTTCTTCATTTCCCTCCGTTAAAATTTAAGTTACGTTGTGTACTGTTACAGTTAAGACTTGCTGGGTTAAGTTAACGTCCACTGCATGCGGAACATTGTCGACTGTTAATGTTCATCATTATCGCAATTTAGGAGGAAAAAACGTAACGTGATGAAACATGCAGCCCCCCGTGTTCCGTTAAACGTTAAACCGGCACACCGGCGGATCTGGTTGCAGGTTGTTTTTTAGCTCAAAGTAGAATGAGGCGATTTCGTGGTGATAACTTTTATGACCACGAAACATGAGGCCCAGATACTGATGAGATGATGAGGTCAAAGAGCTTCGGGAAGAGGAGGCTGTTTGTGTAGTGCAGCTTGACGCAGGGCTGAGATGTGAGTGGAGCTGGGCCTGGATAAAGGTGGAGGTCTAAACAGACGTGAAGGGAGAGCAGGACAGCTACCCGGTGTCACAGTATTTTAAATACATTGATAAGGCAGGGTATGCTAAATGCAGCCTCTGCTCCAAGGAGATAAACTACAGCAACAAGGGCTCACATGCCCTCTCATCACACTGCCAGACACTGTTCACTGTAATGACCACAGCCAGTGTACTTCCAGTCCCAACAGTCCCACGTGCAGTTACTCCCAAGGGCCCTGAAGTAATGAGAGAGAGAGTAATTAAGGTGCCTGTACCTTCATTTCAGCAGGTTGCTAATGCAGAGGTATGTATAGATTGCAGGTATTATTTTACCCTTGATAAGCTACCTCAGCCAGAGTAGAAAATCATTTCAATTTAAATAATTGAACTGGTTTGAATGCATATTAATTGCAAATAGAAGATGGGCCACAATTCTAACAGTAACAGTGGAAGTCCATTAATATGAAGCCATACAGTAACGGGGTTCAATGAAAACTATCACTTTCTTTTGTATAGGCGATGGGTCTCGCTACTCTTGCTATCTGTGTTGTTATACGACTAAACATTTTGAAAACGAGACCTCGGCCTTAATGGGTTTTGTCTAAATAAAGGTTAATAATATTGATTGAAAAAAAAAAGCTAACTAGCCAGCTGTTCAACTACAGCTGAAATACTAATAACTGAATAATAAATTAGTTATTTGCTTTAAGTAAATATTGTCTTATCACTTAATTTTCTTCTCAGAATACACCAGAATGATACATTTTAAAGCTCATATTTAAAATACAATTCTCCCGCCCACCCCCACAGGGTTTTGGGCTTGTCACCTTTTTTACCTCTTATGAGTTTGCGGGTATGTGTATAGAGTACAGAGGGAAATGAGCAAACGCTTTTTCATCCACAAGTTTCTCGAGCACGGCTGCAACGGCATGTTGGGGCAATTATGGGTACAAAAATAAATAAATGACGGAGCCGGGGGAGGGGGTAATATTCAGAGAGATAACTCTATTAAAGTCTGTTAAAATTAAAGTCATTAATTTATCAGAGAAAATAATATGGAGTGCAAAACTGAGGTAATGACATTTTAAAGAAATTGTGCCTTCTGTGTTGTTTTGGCACAGTGACAGTTGGGCACGGTCCCTTAAAAGTGTTAAGTGTGTAGCTATGGTTGGGCAGTGTGGTCAATGTTTGGGTTTTAGTGTCAGCTGTGCTGAAATATGACACGCCTATGTGTAGTCAAAGATCAAATTTGTTCGTCTCTACTTTCCTGTAACTTCTACATCATTAGTGTTTAAATCTGTTCATGTAATACCAGAAAGAACATGAAAGAAAATGTATATGTATCTTTCAGGACCTTTCCATAATAACTTTACTACTTTACTTACTAACACTTTTGGAGCAACAAAATTCACACGGCTGGCATTACCACGGTTTTGCATTCCATTATTTGTTTTTTTTTTCTCTTTGCATATTACCCCCTGTCCCCCGGCTCACAATTTTATTTTATTTATTTTTGTGCCTACAATGGCCCTAAGTGGTATACTATGTGCACCTGATACTTTATTGTGTGCACCAGTAATTTGAAAAAAAATAGTTTTTGCACATGTCCACTAATTTTAATTATTTGTTGTCAGAAGACACAAAACTCTTAAGTTAACATTTTAAGAAGGACATATCCACATTTGTCTGGGCAGCTGTTGCTGAATCTGTGAAATGTTTTAACAAAGACGAGTTCCATCTCAGTTTATTGCTAATTTCTCGTAAAAGGAATAATCAGTAATCTGTTTTTCAATGCAAATGATAAATAGATTTGTGAAATTGTGTTCGTATCCAAGCTTCTAACTTAAATGGGTTTTCTTGAGTGATTAACCAGCTTAAAGAACAGAACATCGTCAAGACAATTGAAATATTCCTGATGACTTTACAAGAGCAGCATTTACACAGTCTCTGCACAGTCTCTGTCTTAATAGCCTCAGATATTGTTGCAGGTGAATCATACTTTATTAACCAGCCCCATTGTGATTCCTGCAGTTTCCTGGAGAACTTGGAGTCTCGCAGTAAGGGCTTCGGCTCTCCTGGTCCCGCTAACGGTCAGAGTCCTGACTCGGGCTCCCAGTCCCCCGTCGTCCCTCCCAGTGGGGCCTCCACGGGCAGCTCCAGCCCCAGCACCCCTCAGCCCCCGGTTCCTTCCCAAGTGCTCCCGCAGTCGCCGTCCGTGTCCGCCTCCTCCCCTCCGCCTCCGTCGACAGCCGTCAGCGCAGCAAGTCCCCCCGCTGTTGAGTTGAAGCCGCCGGCCCAGTCGCCCGAACACGTTCAGGCCTCGGCCGCATCAGGAGTGTCCGCCCTCCAGAAACGCAGCTTCATGTCCCGCTGGTTTGGTTCACCTCCTGCCGCTGAGGCTCCTGCTTCTGCGCCAGGTAAATATTCTCTAAAGATTACCGGAGCAGTAAAAGACTCACACGCCGTCTCCTCTGTAGCTACATGCACACTGTCTGCAACCTTTGTTGATACTGTCATCCTCTAGTCTGAAACTTACCAAGTTTAAAATGATCAGAGCACTGGCTGGTGTTGGAATGTCACTGTTTCATTGTGTAATTAGCAAAACAAAATTAATTTATTTTACAGTTATTGGTCTCTGTTTTCCTCAGACGACCCAGCCGCACCTGTGTGTCCTGCTAAGGTTCAGAGTGTGGACGACTTTGTGCCAGATGAGAGGCTGGATAGAAGCTTCCTGGAGGACAGCCTGCCCTCCAAAACCAAGGTGCCTCAGCCTGCACCGGCTGTGGACAGCGACAGGTGAGATGTCCTCCAAGGCTTTTGTGTCATTTTCAGTTAGCTTCTTAATCCTTTCAGATGATTTGAGTATGTTTCACTGTTCTACATTCCTTTTTTTCCATACAGTTTTTTGAATAGCCTCAACATGGGTTTTTATTTTTGATGTGACGAGATTTACAATACAAAATGCACAAAACACCCTAAGTTAAGATTTTCCTAAAAGTTTAAATTTACATTCCCTTAAAATATAGTCAGTGGCACAAAACACCCTTAAGTCATCTTAAGCTTTCCTTAAAGTTTTCACTTGAATATTTAAAGGTTTTCTCCTTATCTTGGTCTTATACTTAAGAAATCCCATAAAGTTAGTCAAACTGTTGCATAAAAAATCGTAACTACAACATGGCTGAGTTTATGTCAATAAATTAAAGCAATGAACGCATCCGGAAGACTGTTCCGAGACCAGGATTGGATATGCTTAACGATGAGCAATTGATTTTACACTAAATTTGGACAATGGCTGCATGAGGCACGGGCTTACTGCCAGGGAGGTGACAAAATGCCGCCATTTAACGAGAGAGGACCTGTAATTTTTGACTTTGATTTACACACATGTGTACGGCGACCAGTGAATAGACGCCCGTTTGCAATTGATGATTGCACTATGGTTTTGATCTTTCCAGTCAGTAATAGACAACGTATTTCATGTCCACTGGTCAACTGTGTTTAGTTTAAAAAAGAACCTTATAAGTTTGTTAATAGGAAAAAATTCAACATCCAATCAACATCCAGCTAGTCAGCAACCGTGAAAATATAACAACCAGTGTTGTGGCTCAATGGCCTGGCAATACCAACAACCGCTCTCCATGGAAACTAGTATTTTACCACTGTAGAATCTCTCTCAATGCAGAAAATACCTTGAAGCCTTAAGTGTCTCTGTGCAACCGGCCCCTGGTATCGAACAGGCTGTTTGTTTGTAGCTCACAATAGAAGACCCTCCTCTCTCAATGAGTAAAGGTTAAAAAAAGACCTTTTTCCTGTCTCGTGTCTGTCCCAGTGACGGCGAGGACAGAGGAAACCCCATGGTGTCTGGTTTCCTGGATGAGCTGGATCCCGACGACACGGAGCCCAGCCTTCCCCAACCGAAGACTCTGCCCCCCAGCAAAGATATCACTCTGACCAGTGACGAGGATGAGGGGAGTCCAGCAGCCCCCGCCGTCACACAGAACCAAGACCTGGACAGTGAACCTGAGCTGAAAGCGTAAGTCCTTTCTCACAATGACGTGTATATATGTTGTGGTTATTAAGGGTTGATGTAGAGCAAATGTGGCTGAGTAAAAGCAAAAAAAAAAACAAGATCAGAAACCACCCATCAGTAGTCAGGTTGCACTCTTTTCGATCTCTCTCCACATGACGTGCTACAGCAGATTCACATTTCACGTTTGCCCTTTTTCTGTCAGATGGGCTCATGTTTTTAATACAACAGCATACCTTTTCTCTTGTGTCTTGTTCACACCAACAAGAAGAGATGGCGGTATAGCAAAAATAGTTAAAATAGTTCCCTCCACTTCACATGTGAAAAACACCAAACTCTTTTATTCCATTTGAAGGCATCTTTGCGATAGACCCTTTTTGTGCCGAAGTCATGGTTTGGTCACGGTGTTAGCTGGAGGCAAAAACAAAGGAAAGAATAGTTCCCTCCACTTCACATGTGAAAAACACAGGGCCTTCAAATACACCGTCTGTGGATGAAAGTTACGTCACGCGGACCTTCACGTACTCGCGGATGTGGAAAGTCTAACTTCTGCTTTGGTTTGCTTTTAGGGATATACCGACTGTTTCTGACCCAATACAGATTCCGGGATCATCCTTTTAAATGTAAGGAAGCATCAGGCTTGATTTAAACATTGCGTTCCTAATTTTGTAAAACAAAACGGATATAAATGCACTGAATAGTTATTTATTCAAATAATGGTATCCGATACCAGATCGGCCAATTGTCACTGATACCCAATCCAGCTATTTGAGAATCAGACCTATATCCGGTATCAGTGCATCCCTGGTTGCTTTGCAGTGTAGCAGCTGTTGCCAATGCTGGAATAGCTAGTTTTTTTTCTGTAGGATAGTTGTAGGCATCTCAAGATTTCTACTCCCCCATTTTGTCTTTACCATGCATGCTTGGTTTCTACATCTTAATGATGATCCATTTATTTTCCCTTTGGTTAATGTTTCTCAAGTAACACTCACGGTCCCGAAGAAATATTTTAATCAGCCATCGTTCAAAAACAACCAACAAAAACAGCAACAACAAAGCCAACAGAACTTGCTGGCTAACGTGTTCAGAGAATTATTCTGCCCACAAAAACACATCATCGTGGTTACTAACAGAAACCGGTCTCTTTTTTTTCTTTTTGACTGGATGTTCTGTGAACCTTTATATATTGCAATAGAAAATGCATGGCCTGAGCCGTGAATCACTTCGATGTAGCCGTGGAGATCCTGTGGCTTCTGTGACTTTTCGAAGAATCTTCAATGTTCACAACAGCTGCAGCTAAAGATCCCAGTGGCATCGCAAATAGAGCCTACAGAAAAACATGGAGTGAAAGATAAAAATGTGTACAGTGCGTGTTCCATGTCGCCCTGTTTCAGGCCTGTGATCTACATCACAAAACCAAAGGTGGCATCTAAAGCTCCAGAGCTCAGAGACCAGAGCGCAGCACCCATCTCCCTCACTCTAACCCCAGCAGCAGAGCAGCTGCCCCGACACCAGGGCAAGAAGAAGGGAAGCCCACCAAGAGCCGAGGACTCCGATACAGACCCCGAGGCCCCTGCGGCCCAGCAGATGCTCTCGTATGTCATGGATGACCCCGACTTCGAGTCTGAAGCATCGGACACACCAAAGATAACGAAGGTAAAGTCAAGTAGATTGAAGTTGACTCGGTTCGCGGCTCTTTTTTTACTGGAGAAAACCTGAACTTTTATTTTGTAGTTTTTGGAAAAATCAAAACATTTCCTCATGCGATCGTTCATTTTTCGACTGACCCTTTTTCTTCCCAGGCCATATTTCCGGTCAGAGACGAGCTTCTGTCCGACCTCTCTGACGAGGACGTGCAGTTAGCCAAGGTGCTAGAACCCCTGAAGCCCACCGTGATCTCCTTCAAACACAAGGACATCACCGACCTGTTTGGCCTCGGCATCCAAGAAGAGGCTCCCGCCGCCAAGGACAGCAGCGAGGAGCAGGAAGGCAAGTCATGAAGTATCTGTCCACGTGACTTTCTAACTCTGAAGTGACGTTTTGATTAGAATCCACACTAGTATCCACAAATAAGCTGTTGTTCTGATGAGTGACTTAACATTATATCTGCTTTGTTGAGTCAGTATATCACATGGCATTCTTTGGGAATCTCACGATTTTATTTCGCTGGTGCGGTGTCGAGATTCTCGCTTCAGAATCGTCTTCTCAATTTGAAATTGATTCTTTATTCAACAAAAAGAAAAGTTGGCAATAGCTGCTCCACCTTCTCGGTTTTGCAAAGCTAATTATTATTTTGTTGAATCCAAAAATCCAAAATGCTTGTTCAGTGGATTTGGAGTTAGTTGAACGTTGTGTAATAGTGATACTCGCTACGCGGAGAGGTTGGAAGGAGATATAGGTTTCTAAAACGTTCCGTTTCTACGTAAAGACCTGTGGAGCTAACATCAGCAGAGTACGTCAGCTCATCATTAACTAGCCTTAGCACTTCCATGCTACGCTAGCTACTGAAGGTATACTCAATGTCTAGACACATGCAGATTTTTTGGTCATTAATAAAAGTAACAGTGAATAAAGACCTGCCCGTCTTTACAGGAACAGTGTTGTTCCTTAATTTCATGCTCTTCTGTCTGGATCACCAGGTGATGTAGTGGTTCACTTTTACTCTGTGATCTGCAAATTTAGCTTCTATCTTTATCTTCCCAACCTGTTTTCTCTGCTGAATCAGTTTGAGATCCGGAATGTATCCTTCAAACGCAGATTGTAGACACATTTAGCAACGGCTAAAACACCAAACTCAAGTTTTTAAAACCACAGTCCACAAACCAATGGGTGTATCTGTTCCTCTTTCAGACAAAGAAATCAAACACTCCTTCAAAGACAAGAAAGAGAAGAAAAAGAAGAAGAAAAGCAAAGAGGTAAAGTTATTGTTGTTATTGTTATTGTTGTCACACTGTAAGTTGTAACGTTTCTAAAAGACAGCAGTGTCAACACAATAACTTGTGTTCTTTGGTTTTTAGGAAGACGAAAAGAACAAGAAGAAACACAAACTCAAGAAAAAGGAAAAAGACGAAGCTGCAGCGGGAGACGAGAAAGAAAAAAAGAAGAAGTCCCGGACCAAGAAAACAGAAGTGGACGAGTTGGAGGACTTTCTGGGCGGAGGAGCAGTGTTGATCAAACGAGATGACGGGGATTATGAAGAACTATAAAAAATAAAAAACAAACTCCTGGTTCCTTGACTTGTAAGAGCATAAAGCATCTCCAAGCCATACGCAATACGCAAGGCTACCAACAACACCCAGGTAAAATCACTAAGGACTCTGATACCTGTATATTCCTTCTGATTGAGTTCCCCATCTGCACTACCGTGGTCACTTCCACTCCAGCCGACAGCAAACGGCGGGGAGACCCACACGTACATAAATTAAAAATGTTGATCGGTATAGCCACAGATTGGCTCTTTGTACTTTGACACGTTTGAATATGTTGGCTGAACATTTTGTCTTTGATTTGATACACACTGCAACTGATCCACTCCCACTCCGCTAGGCTCACCGTTTTGTTCTGAATTAGTTTGTTTGGTGTAACATTGGAGCGCATGCTTAAAGTGATGAGTGACTCCTTAGAGACTCCATCATGTTCTGTCTTTTCTTTTTTTGGCCCAAGTGCTCAATGGCAGATTTGGTCTCTTGTCTCTGAGGAACAATTTAGATTGAGTTGATTGAAGAATTTTGGCCATCGACAACAAAGGAAATGACTTTCCCTTCTTCACTCTTGGAGTACGTCCACACTAAGCCGGCTACATTTGAAAGCATTAAATGTGACAGTTGCAATCCTCTTCCCTTGTAGTGTGTCAAAGTGGAAGACAAAATTCAGCATCACGGACGCCTTACCATGTCCTGAAAAAATATTTATTTTTGCCTGGTTTGAAAACTCCTAAGTGGTGATCCATGATGTTGGGACAGTGAGTCAGTCTGTGTACTATAGTCTTCTGTGTCTCTTGGCCAAGTCACAGCAAAATGTATGACTCCGATTGTCTAATGTGACCGTGACCACCTTGAAAGAAACAAATATTGTGTAATCTGATCCTGGCATTACCAGTTTCCACTAAAAAAGTGTAATGGTGTTCTCTATTAGTAGGCTTATTGTGGACATAGTCTGTGTGAAACTGACTATCGAGGTCAGCAAAAATTATCGAGGTCATGTCCATATATCATTCAATAAGTTAACGTTAAAATAGTTGAGGTCATGTTCATATATCGTACAATAAGTAGATAATTAAAAAACTATCGAGGTCATGTCCATACATCGTACGATAAGTAGATAACGTGATTATCTTGACAGGCCTCATTTAAAGCCGTATGTCCTCGCCAGTTATTTCATGAATGGTTAATATAACTTGTATAAGTTACTCTCCTGCTCCATTAGCACAAATCAACAGTTTACAAGCGAACCTAGCGGCCCCCTTTTCTCTGCTTCACCCTGAGGCCGACACACAAATGTTTTCTGCAACTGCCTTAACAGAGGTTTAGCTCCGACTGAGGGAATGACGTTCCGCCGTCCTCGTGAACCATTTTTTAAGTTTTCCTACGGTAAAGCGTTCGCTTGCCTTTTATCAGTGAAAACGGAGTCTCCGTCATCTCTGAAGCCTTTTATCAGATTGAAGTGAATCAGGACATCTGTTTGTCTTTTGTTTTCCTTTGATTCTCCTCTGACAGCAACAACACCATATGGCTAAGGGAGTGTTATGGAGTCGTGTTAATATTTCTCTGCAAGATGTCCTGTTTTATCCTTGTGTTATTTATTGCTTCCGTTGTTTTGTTTTGTTGCGAAACGTCAGGATTTAGTTTGCGTGAGTTTGCGCTGAAACTGAGTTTGTGCTGTTCATATCTCCTATAAACACAAATGGTTCACTTCCACTGCGTTTAAAGACATGTACGTGGTGATATGAACAACAAACGGTATCTTCCATAAACCACCACCTTTTTTTTTTTTATTTTTTCAAACAAGTGAAGCATTGTTGCATCTAATAGAAAATAACGATGTGTATATTTCGACAGATTTCATACGGTCTCCATCTTCCATTCATACGTGTTGTACAAAGAAATTGTTTGATATTCCAAAGTTGAAACTACTCAGCATTGATCCTGAATACTGTGTGCTCTTCCTTTTGTTTTGTTTTTTTGTTTGTTTTATCATATGATTGAGGATAAATGCTGAAAGTGCAGTTTCAAGCAAAGCATGAGACTTAAATGTATAGCAAGAAAAGAATGTATAAAGTATATAAATAATATCCTTTATCTGAAGAGCTTTGTTCCAAAATGATACATACGGAATGTGGAAATATGGAAAAAGTCCATAAATATCATTGAAATGCTATAAAATGATTGAACCAAGTAAGATCCAACACGGGAGGGAAAAATCTGCTCTCTGGAGTACCGACGATGGACATGTATTTTCAGGTGTTTCCAAATGGATGTGTGGTATTTTGGAATGAAACCCTTCATTTATTTTTCACCTCCATCTTTACACTGAGTTTGCCCATGTTTGGTTTGTCCAATAAATACAAACTTATTTCTTCATAAAGATCATTTCTTGAAAAAAAAAAAAAAAATGCCGTGGTTTGGATGATTCTGTGCATTTCTGCAAAAACAGAAGTATAGCTGAAATGAAGCCAGGACATCTTCCTCCTCATCATGCTGCAACCTCATACTGTGGATCAGCCAGAGCTCTGCTCAGGTGATGTCATCAGGCTGCTCTAAAGCCCAATCCCCAAAGTCCCCTCTCTAAGGCCTTAAACCCTGAACCCTTGGGGCACGTGACTGACGTCAGCAGGTTAGTTGTTGAGTTTGAGGGGCTTGAAATAGTTGAAATACGAATGGGATGGCACTTTGACAAGTTACCTTGACGATGATCAAATGTGGGGGTTTTATTTTACTGCCTGATTTTACTCTTACCAATTAGGGGATAATCAAGAAAACTATTTATTAGCGTTTGTCAAAACTTCTTCAATAAGCCAAATTAAAAGACATAAACACCTGGTTTATGAATTAACCAGGTGTTGGTTTAGTCTCTGCTTGCATTCCTCTGATTTCATGTGTTTTTATGTTCCATCTTAATTTTTCCATCTTTATTATTTATTATCTTTATTATCCTCCAGATATCCGCCGCAGGGGGGATGGCAAAGAAACGTACATGTCTACCTCATTCTTTAGTTTTTCAAAGCCCAAATCATTTTCAACAGGACGCTATTTTGGGTAAAATAAAACAACTCAAAACTACTTGTTCAACCTCCACATCATAAAAACAATTATCTCATTGCAAATGCTTTGGCACATTCATGCAAATGATCGTGAACAATTGTCTGCTGTTTTCCCACATTATCAACTGCTTCTGTCACGTTGATCAAAATGCATTAAACAGTTTGTTTACAGTCATTGCATGCTAAATCTTTGAACCAGCATATTTATATACTTTCCTATTATAATGGGTTTTTTTGTAAATGTTCCTCGAATTGATGAATTGCTCTCATGTGAATCGCCTTCGATATTCTGGTGGTCGTGTTAGCGAATCTGTTCACTCATCCACCAGACACAGAGCAGTATTAGCATTTGTTAAGAATTGTGTTTCTGACCACTTTGAGTATCGGTATCTAGGTCCTATATTGACGTCTCTTTGAGCTCTGTTTTTGGTCTCCACCAGCTCCTGAGGGAAATACCCTTCTCTTTAGCTGCTTAATGCTCCGGTGTGTTCTCCAGCTATAGTCTCTGACTGTGTCCGTCTGCTGTTTGCAGCTGAGCAGGTGTTGAACAGCTGGTTTATCAGCGCTTTGATGGCTGTAAATGAGGTTGATGGGAGCTCGGTTGAGGACCAGACAAAACAGAGACAATGATCCGACTACAGAGCTGGTCATCATTTCTGTAGTTAATCACTACGACCATCACCTTTCAAATTGGTCATTTGATCCAACGTTAATATTTTTTTTAAATGATTAATGCGGCTTTAAGATAGGTACCTTGCCAAGATTGATGGCCATTGAAGACTGATCTACTAGCTCTACTTACAGCTGTGAAAGTAGCCCTCAGCCAGCTTTATGATGGGGTTATCCCTCTCCACTGCTAGGCTAAAGTCGCTGGAGCTCTGCCTACACCAAACCCTCAGCAGGCTCTCATGCTTTAGCTCAGGGACATGTCACTTTCTGCCAATACAGTAGCTCACAGGCACCTGCACACGCAGTACCATCTAGTGGTAAATAAAAGAGCTAGTAAACGGTATAACCTCCTACCAATACAATACAAAAGTAGCCAACCCATTACAAGAAATTTCACCACCTTCACAATTGTCTCAATTCATTCCCTTATTCCCTGTACTGATTTGTTTCACTGTGTAATGAGGTCTTCGACAATATGCGTTTACCTCATTGAGATGGATAATCTGCACATGTATTATGCTTTAAATTTAAATCAATGTATGATTTAAAATGATGTCGAAACTTCAGTTGTACCCCTGATATGCCCAATGGCTTTATTACAATATCAGTACATTTTATTACGAATTCCAGGCAGTCGTACAGCCTCTAACATCTATTTCAGCTATTGATACTAAATAAAGCAGTTACAGTACGCATCAAGTTTTTCAACTCTGCAAGGGAACATCTAGATTGAAGTTCTAGGTGAAGGTTTTACACGTACCTACTTGCCAAAAGCAATATCCCCCAAAAAATAATAATAAAATAAGCATAATCTGACCACAGAAAGTGGTTATGCTCAGGAAGAGAATTTAGGTAAAGTTAGAAAGATATTGACAGATTCGGACTTCCCGGTTCAATAAATCGTTAACGAAACGTTGCTAAAATACAAACGATACCTCCCTGTAACCGTAGTGAGGTAGACAACAAGCTACAACCTTAATTTAGTTAAAACGGGCCGTTTTACGGACTCCTCCGAGCTGGACAATCTGCATTGGTCTCAATGAGCGGCCGGCTGCGAGACGAGTGCGCAGGGACCGTCTACAAAGTGCAATGCGGAAAATACCTACTACAACAATATTCAATAGCTTCACTGTCATGCAATGTAGTGTAACCAAAATCACTTCACACATCAATGGGCTCCTCCTTGTTGTACTACAAGTGTTATTTTGAAAAAATATGATTTTGATTAATT